AAGTAAGTTTGAAGATAATCATTTTTGTTTTTTGTGTCAGTCGATTAACAAGGTTCTTCTTGTATTTTTGTGTCTTCTACATAGTTTTTCGATTTGTAAAAAACAAAAGTCTTTTTTAAGAGTTTTAGATTATATTCTCGGTTCGATAGCACAAATAGCACAACAAAATGGAGATGAAATCTTGAGATTTATGCAAATATATGCAAAGTCCCACTAAACGCGAGTTTTCTTTTCTTTAATTATTTTAATTGTTCATAAGGCTGCCTTTGCGTTTAGTATTCGAGTAAATTAGTTCAATTTTCCATAGCCTGTTCTTATCCTGCCTGCTTTTTATCAATTGTTTTCTTCAATTTATGCTTAATATATGGGATATACGAGGTGTTATTTAATAAGTGTCCGATATTTCGCAGGGGGATATATCAAGTATTTTAAAGGTTTTTTAGATACAGGATATCCCAGTTTTATTTTTATTTCTATTCTTGTTGTAGCGACTTTTCAGTGTATTTTTGTGCTTATTTTGAATATGTTATTTGTTTATATAAACATCGATTTGTTTTTCGATGGCTATATGCACTACAGAATAATTGAAAGTTTAAATAATATGACATGAATAGATAAATACGGATTGTGCAATGATACCAAGTTCGTAACGTATCTTGGGGACTGTATAAGTTTCATACTGTTACTAATAAGAATAAAATTTGTTACGTTTTGCCCATTTTTTTGTAATCCACATTTAACTCGTTTATTTTGACTAAATACTGACGAAAAAACCAACGTCCAAATTGAAAACTATTGAATTCACGGCATTCAAAATGGTTGTCGAATGCCGGAAGATCTTATTGGTCGAAAGAGAAATTTGAAGTGCCCATGCACGTATTGAATTTTCCTTTTCGACATTTTTTGGATGTTGGCTTTAAAAGTGCTTGGCATAAGCATAGGCAACTGTTTTTGTTATTCAATTTTCTGATTAACTAAAGAAAATAAGAAAAGTCGGTTGGGTTTTCTTGTTTCCTGTTGTTAAGTTAGTTTCTGTTAAAAAAGGTAAGGTATAATTTCTGTCTTTACTCGGTACTTGGTACTTGGTATTCTCGATGGTGTTGATTGAAAAAAAAAAACCTTCGATATATCGTGGAGCTGTGAAATGCGCTGGATTTTGATTACATATAAAAAATCTAAAGGTTTTTATTTAAAAATATTATTGAAAGTTTGCTACTAAATAAGGGTTGCCACTTCAATATTCCGCCTGTATGTTTCGCCTCGGGGCTATCTTTACAGCTTCCGCCGCTTCCATTATTTCACGGGGCTGCACAGTTATTCGAATTTAATAATGTAAGAATTTAGATATGTTATATGGATGCTTTTAACGCCGCGCGAGCACGAGATCGACGTAAAAAGAAAAACACGAACACTTTACGTAGGAATAGCTAAGCATTTTAAGAATTGCTCTCGGACGTTTCGCAGAAAGGAAAAAATAAAAGCGGGGAAGAATCCTTTCTTAACCGAATTATATATCGGTTGAGCACTCTGCAATATAAAATTTGCAGTGCTTTTGCCTGCGATAAACATTTTTAACATTTCAAAGGAAAATGTAATACTTTTTACCGACGATAACTTTTTCGAATTCCTTCAAAGGAAGGAGTTTGTATAAAGGCTATATAGGGTAGCTCACTACCGCTGAATTCTTCAAAAAAGTTTAGTTTATCAAAAAAAATTAGTTAAAGGAGTTGTTTATAAAGCTGCACGCAATGAAGTTAGTTTTGGCATAACTCTAACCGAAAATGTGTTCAACAGAGATAACTATAACGAATTTTGGCATTTGATTGAGTTTTGATGGAAAATCTGTAATAACAGGACAACTGCTGCAAAAGGGTATTAAATGATGTAATTTGTTGAAAAATTTTGGACTCCTTAAGCTATATATACAGGTGATTACCAGGAGTGAAAAATGATTAAAAGGCGGTGTTTCATCTTTCAATATTTTTAAATCAAGATATTTAAAAATTTATTGGGATTAAGTATTTGGAAACCTGAAGAAACCTAGTATGAAATTTTCTCAGAAATCCATAAATATACTGGAGTTCCACTTAAAATGAGGAAGTCAGATGCTGTGAGGCACTTATGTTTTTAAAATATTGTTATGGAGATATAAAAGAACACAGTAATTACTAATATGTCTACATTTACTACTGCAGCTTATTTGTAATGTAATAAATCCCGTTTGCATATTTTTCTTAAATTAAATTTGGTGATTACCAGTGGGATTAACCGTTAGCCATTACCTTTTCGCATGTCAGAGCGACGTTACTTATACAAAGCACATAACTAAAGCAAATTTAAAATTCATTGAATTCAATTTAATCTGGACTTACAAAACCAAAAGAAAGTGTTGGAAAAATTTTTATAATACAGTTACCGTTTGCCATATAGTCATCAGAATATAGGAGCCGGAATTACTGTAAAACTGATGTTGCGGGCATGACCCTAAATTTTACGTGCCCTGAAAATTCTTGGAAAAGCCACCACACACTGAAAACTATCAAAATGACAAACTGTCAGTGGCTGGGTCTTATTGACTGGAAGAGATTTTTACAATGACTGGTGTGTATTATCAGCATGGGAAAATTAGTAACATTTCGGAAACTCATATTTGTATCAGAAAAAATCCCATAAAATAGACCATAAAAATTTGTAGTATAAGTTGAGAACAAAATACCAAAATGCATCTTTTTGTTTTTGTTTTAGGGCAACCCACAAATAAGAAGTGTTTTTTTTTTCGATGTATAGAACTTTAATTTGCAATAAAACAACGATGGCATGAATTTTATTTATCCGAAAGATAATCTTGTGGCATTACATTTTAAATATGATTTCTGGCATATGACCGTCATGGCTGGACGTCCAATTTTCGATGACTTTTTCCAACATTTGAGGCCGTATATCGGCAATAACAAGGCGAATGTTGTCTTCCAAATGGTCAAGCGTTTGTGGCTTATCCGCTTAGGCCAATGACTTTACATAGCCCCACAGAAAGTAGTTAGCGGTGTTAAATCACAAGATCTTGGAGGCCAATTCACAATTCCAAAACGTGAAATTAGGCGGTCACCAAACGTGTCTTTCAATAAATCGATTGTGGCACGAGCTGTGTGACTTGTTGCGCCGTCTTGTTGAAACCACATCTCCTGGACATCATGGTTATTCAATTCAGGAATGAAAGAGTTAGTAATCATAGCTTTATACCGATCACCATTGACTGTAACGTTCTGGCTATGATTCCACCAGCCCATAAAGCGCACCAAACAGTCAATTTTTCTGGATGTGACGGTGTTTCGACATATACTTGAGGATTAGCTTCGCTCTAAATGCGGCAGTTTTGTTTGTTGACGTAGCCGTTCAACCAGAAGTGCGCTTCATCGCTAAACAAAATTCGCTTATGAAAATCGGGAACAACGGCAATCTCGTTTTGGGCACGTTCGACGAATCTACGGCTTACTTGATGGTCGTTTGGCTTCAATTCTTGAATGAGTTGGATTTTGTAAGCACGTAAACCAAGATCCTTCCGCAAAATCTTCCATAAAGTGGATGGATAGAGATCCAATTTCTGTGCTCGATGGCGGATGGACTCATTCGGGTCTTCCTCAATGCTACACGTTACAGCAGCAATAGCTTCTTCTGTACGCACTGTACGGCGTCTCTGGGGATGCGAGTTATCAATAAGAGTAAACGTGGTGCGAAAACGTTCCATAGTTAATCGAATTAACTGCTCTGATGGATGATTTTGTCGACGATAAAATGGAAGTAGTGCGCGATACGTATTCCGCACAGAACCATTATTTTCGAAATAAAATTGCACTATTTGCAAGCGTTGTTCAGGCGTGGGTCTATTCATGGTGAATTGCCAACCAAACTGACAATAAATCACTTGACAGCTGTTAAATCGGTCGCCATCATGAACAGTAATGCCAACTTAAAGTTCTATACATCGAAAAAAAAAACACCCAATATAACTTATCTCGAAATCATGCACACAAGAATATAATGAAATGAAATATTGCAATGTGATCCTAATTTTGACTGCAGAATTGATATTACTGTACAAATTTGCACACCGGCTTCAATGATCTCAAACATCGCATTTAAAACCGTTATCTATTGCGAAACACAATAGATTTTGAAACAAAAATTACGTGTTAGGAGTGAGGGTATAAAGGCTGTCGTAGGTTTCGTGAAAATATATTACTGAATTCAGTTTTAGGGATGGCGGAAACGTTCCTTACTAATTAAGGTGTTTCCCCAAGAGATTTGAAAAAACCCGAAAAATTGAACATCCCGTTAAGTTACGATTACATTCACTTAGCTACTTAAGTTTAACTTAAACTTTTGTACTAAGCAGTTTATTTGAGGAGCGTGTTACAAAACCAGACATGTTTTTATAAATTTACTTCAAGAAAAATTTTGGCTGAACTATGTATATTGTGCATGTAAATTGAAATGGATTTTGCCATTTTTCAACAATTCCTGTAGTACTAATTTTCAAAAATCTTAAACCACAAATAGTCTAACTCAGTTCGGTTCGCATTTTAAGTATAAAGTGTAGATGTCTGGACCCTCTTTGCTTAAATCTATCGATGCGGTTTTAATGAAGCCGAATCGCTCAGAAATGGATCAGCCTCTGCTAAAGCGTTAGTTAGACTGCAATAAGCAAGCATTAGCTTTGATAGCCTATTTCAGTTCCTGGTAGTTTTAAGTATAAAGCACAACACCAAATGATTTTTAAGCAGAATCAAGATTTATATTGAAATAATCTAAAATTCATTTCCATATATTAACTAAGCTCTACAGATGATACAAACCAACATATATAGACAAGCTATTTACCGTGGATATTAAGGCTATTATTTAAAAAAAACAGTTCTAAAACTTTTAAAGATTAAGTAATATATTTTTTTTAAAAATAATTCAGCAAAGAGTACTAGTAGATCGGAAGCGAATAAACTCACCTCTAGTTAATCTAAAAGTTCAAAAAATCACACCACGGCTTTAAAGGGCAATTATGGAATGAAATTTTATCTAGCCCAACGTTTTGACACTTGTAAAATTTGTAGGTAATGTGACATTTTATTTAACACAATGACGCAACATTCTGGCACTAATTTCACAACTATGTAAAAAAAATTCTGTATTACGGTTATTGAAACAAAGCTGAAACAAAACAGAGTTAAAAAAAAATTCAAATTTATTTACAAGTTGCTAAAAACGTATTTCTGAAAACTAGTTCGTCATGCGTATGACACATCAAGCTTGATGGATGCGAATTTCCACTTCTGTGAATTAAAAGAACACGAATTTCACTGACCGATCGGTCATATCTAAGTCTCTTGGCAGAGCTAAAGTAGTATGTGTAATTCTTACGTTATACCTAAACCAACTAAAACTACGTATTGAAGTCTAAGAGGTGTTTTAAGGTGCTCTGATAAAAAGTGTCATATCTGTTGAATCTTTAATAATAGACCTTCAGAAACAGAATGAGTGATAGTAGTGACGTGGAAGAATATAAATCTCAATACGAAAATGCGAATAAAAAAAAGAGAAGGCATAAAGCAAGAAGTTTTTCAGCGAGTTCGATAAAATCATCAAATATCGATATAAATAAAATCGTCTGCATCGAGAGCAAGAAATCCTCGACTACGATAAAACCACCGCAGATAATGATTTGCTAAAGAAACTGCTTAGTAAAAACGATGAAATACGGAGCGGACCGAGGTTAATTAATACACAGGATAATCACGACAATGTTTTTGGATTTTATTTTCAAACCCAGGAACTCGGTTTCTAGAAGTCCACCACCGATGAACAATATTGAAAACTGAGATGTAACATTCTACAGGGATCGAACGAACAGGGATCTAATAAAAGATCCAGATTAGAAGCTAAGGCGGAAACGGAAAATAAAAATTAAAGGCAGTGCGAAGCTTATCAAACAGCAAAAATGTCAATAGACAGCAGAGACAACGAGATTCCAGAAAGTATGCTAGAAGAGATATTTCTAGAACTAGACAAAGTCAACAAGATAGCTTGTCATGATGAAGTAAATCTTAGGAAAGATGAAAGAAAACAGATTACAGAAGTTGCCAGCAATCTAAATAAACTCATTACTAGCCTTCGTTGTATTTAGATGCGGCAAATTAGAAACAGAAAACATGAGGCTGCAGCAATCTTTAGACAGATACGAGGACATTAGCGATAAGGTGGAGGACTTAAAAATATCAGACCAACAATGGATGGAACAATTATAATAGAAAGATATAATCAAAATCAGCAAGAAAAACTAAAAATTATAATAAGTTCAAAAGTAAATTTAAATATCAAGCAACTAAATAATAGTAACGATACATTGTTTATGGTCACAGTAATCAACAAAGGATTTTCAGATACCTAGTTCCTTGAAGAAGTGCAGGATTGAATGTCCAAATAGTGCAGGAACTAGAGTATAATATTGTAGACAAAATGAAAGTCATCATGAAGAAGCCTTGTCGTAATGTATCAAACGAAAATTGGATTCTTCAAGCCAACCCAGATATAGCCAAATGGTTTCTAAAAAAAGGAACTATCAATTTTGACCTAGTAAAAGCGCACGTTCAAGGGTAAGAGATAAACTCAGCGAGAGATAAAGACTGTCCAGAATTCCAGCGACGATTGGAACGCTTTAAAAATAGCATAAATTACGAAAATCGTTCTTTTATAAACAAAAAAGCAATGAACTATAAAAGAAAAATTGGAAGTAACGAAAACACCCTGCAAAACTACCCTACAAATAAAAATCTATACTCTTTGATACACCAAAACGTACAATCAATAGGCAATAGTGTGGACAAAATAGAAGACTTATTAAGTGATTATTGTGACTGTGTATTTGTGTGCATCACGGAACATTGGAAATCTCGGGACGAACTTGAAAATATTGGTATCCCTAATTTTAAATTAGCAGCCAGCTCCTGCAGGAATAAGGGACAAGATGGAGGCAGTGCCGTACACATTAAGCAAAATTTGAGAAGCAGCGAACGCAGGAAAATTGGTGAGTTATCAGTACAATGTCAACTGACGTTGACACTGTTGGAAATAAACAATACTATATTGCAGGGGACTTTAACATTGAAATGTTGTTACAAAACAATCGGAAGAATTCTCTATTTTTTTCTGTTTAGTTTTTTCGGAATATATCCAACTGTAACATGTAATACTAGAATAACACCAAACTGTAGTAGTCGTCTAGATAATATTTTTACTAATTTAATTAGTAATGAACATTCTAAGTAATTCAAGCTCATATTTCAGATCATTTGGCACAAAAATTAGCTTTTAGTTTGAAGAAGGGCAATGAAAATAAATTTGTACAAAAAATATTTTTTACCGACGATGATAAAGCATGTTTTCTTGAAAGGCTAATTGGGAAAATGTCTACAATGCTGACTAAATATGATTATATAAATGATTTCACAAATATCTTCAATGAGTGCTTCCCTCTCGAAAGGGCTCACGGCAACAAAAAAAAAGAAAGTTACAAAATCTTTAAATCCAACAGAGACTAGATATACTGCTAACCTTGTCAAAAACAAACACTAACTACAAGTATTTATACAAAGTAACAAAGAAGGAATATGATAAACTTCTAATTGAAGAAATAAAGCAATTATACGAAAAGAGAAGAGTAAACTCGGATAACCAAATGAAAAGTATGTTGTCAATCTGCGGCGAAATTACAGGAAAACGTAACCAAAAACCTTCCCGACTTCCCTGAAGATCCTACAAAATTTACAAACGATTTTAACAAGCACCTAACAACAGATGCGCAAACGTATATTCCATTTCAAAATAACATAATAGGCAAGCGATCTTTCTAGAGCAACTAAAATTAGCTCCATTTAAACCAGTTTACAAAAAAGGAGACTTGAAGGATCTAGATAACTATCGACCAATTAGTCTTACCCAGCTTTTCTTCTCTTGGAAATAGTGATATGCTCCAGATTAGTTGAATTTATGAATAAATGTCAATTTTTCCCTAGCTCTCAACATAGCTATTTGAAAAACAGATCAATCAGTTCCGCCATTTTTCAGTTCACAAAAACAATCTTGGAGCAGTTTGAGGAAAAAAACTTAGTCATAGGTTTATTCTTAGACCTTAGTAAGGCATTCGATTGCCTAGACCATAAAATCTTATTGGACAAAATGGAGAGATATGGAATTCGTGGTAAGGCACTCAATTGGATACAATCATACCTTTTAAACAGAAAACAGCACGTGATCGTTCAAAGTAAAAACAATATTACAAAATCTGAAATCTTACAAAATAGTACACGGATACCACAGGGTAGCATACTAGGACCAATTCTTTTTACTTTTTGTATAAACGACCTACCAATGGGCATAGATAATTTTTTGATAACTAATTATGCGGATGATAAAAATATTTTAGCACCTGGAGGAAATATATTGGCTGTAACAAATAAAACGAAAAATGCAGTCAAAATAATAAATTCATGGTTCATAAAAAAAAGGTCAATCCTAATAAAACAAATATTATTTTATTTAGAATAAAACAAAACCAAATGGCCCAGATTCCTGACTATCTAGAAATTATTAAAATAAATGTAGAGTTTACGGAGAATACAAAGTTTTTAGGTGTTCACATAAACGAGCATTTAGAATGGGAAACACATATACGGACAGTATCTACAAAATTAAATAGGGTGGGTTATGCAATTAAAGTTATCGGAAGGTATATGAGAACGGAAGCCTTAAGAACTGTTTATTGTGTCAATTTTGAATCTATTGTACGGTATGTTCTGGTATATTCTGGGATTGTAGCTTTGAACTAAAAAAAGTGTTTATTGCAGAGGATGATATATATATATATATATATATATATATATATATATATATATATATATATATATATATATATATATATATATATATATATATATATATATATATATATATATATATATATATATATATATATATATATATATATATATATATATATATATATATATATATATATATATATATATATATATATATATATATATATATATATATATATATATATATTTACGAATGTCTAATATTTATATTTAAAAATAGAAATGAATTTAACGTACACTCAGAATATTATGGTACCTAGTCACAGACTGTCAATAACAGAAAAAGGACCTTATTATATGTGCATCAAGATATTTAACCATCAACCGAACGGAAACGTTAATAAGCCTAGAACCATATACACTTGACGAATATTTTGACGTCATTTCATTTGTACTTTTCTTGTAAAGCAAATTGTATTATTATAAACTGACACAAGGTCACAAAATTTCTGGGAAATTACAACTTCGCCAGCAGTTTTCGTATTATATATTATAATTTTCCAGTAAAATAGTATGTTCTTCTGTAGAGAATGCCATGATTTGTTTTTATACCTGTTGGCGCTATAAACTACGTTAAACTAGGTAAAAAATTAGATTTCTTATCCATCCATTTGAACCCTCGGATACCAATTACCAAATTGTTACTGTTGTTATTATTTACTGCTTACCCAACTTTCTCAAAATATTTTTCTTAATCATCCTGAATATACGTGTAGTAAATATCTCTATTATATATAATTTTATTTCGTTTTCAACCACCTAAGAATGTTTTTAACACTTTTTTATTTTCCCCTTATTAAAATTGCTTTTATATTTAAAATGTAAAACATTGAAGAACTGAAATATTGTTATACTTTTTTGTTACCACCATATGAGGACATTGATGAATACGCATTCAAACACGTACTGTTGAAGGTGACATATTTGCGTATGTGTACGTTTTTGAATGCGCATTCATCAACGCGGACATCGATGTCCGTCTATAGGAGCCTTAAAAGACCCCACGCATTTTTTTTCTATCGCGCTCCTTCGGATTACCATGAAACTTTCGCAAAATCCATGTAGTATTATATTACACCGTGTGCCAAATAAAACGACCCACTATACGATCTGGAAACCCATAGGAGATACGAAAAAAGTGTCGCACAAAATTTTCTTGGG